CTGCAGCAAAATGTCGCAAGTTTTGTAGCTTGAGCCAGACCAACTGGAGCTCTCGAATTTCAATACACAATCACATGCTGCAGGATTTCTTTAGATATGTCATCTTCACTAACGGTGTAGTCAAAGTAATTCATGTGTCTACATTCAGCCCATGTGTTTGAAAGCAAAAACGATAAATGCAGTTGTTTATGCATAGAGTTGACGGTGAGGGAAAGCAGTGATACTCAGCCGGAAGAAGCTTCAGCCAGGGCCCCCAGGGCCCTGGGCCCAGGGCCCAGGCCATGTGATGACCAGCCTAGGCAAAGAAAAAGATGTGTTTTCTAAGCCCGCTCCTAGTGCTTCTTGCTCCTAGTAGTAAGGCCAGGAGCCCCTAGCGTCTTAGCTCCTAGTAGCGATGCCAGGAGCCCCTAGTAGCTTCTTGTTACTAGTGAGCCCGCTCCTACTTGATTAAGGGACAAACTTCCAAGCTCCTATAGCTACTAGTTAGCTTCTAGGAACAGGACGCAGGAGCCCCCAGGGGGAGGCCTCCTTGAAGAAGCGCTCGCACTATTCATTTGGTTCCTAGACTTTTTGGTTCAAACCTCAAGGTAACAATGATATGTGAAGATCTTTTCTTGTTCCAGCGCAAACGCTGCATGGGGGGCTGAACTCTACGACCTCGCGAGATAGATCATCGTTTACAGAAGTTCGCCTCCGGAGTTTTTTTTGCGACCAAAAGTTATAAATAAAGAAGAAAGAGTAAACGTAGCGATGCCCTTTGCTCCTATTAGTTCTTGTTCCTGGTAGTACGGCCAGGAGCCCCTAGTAGCTTCTTTGCTCCTAGTAGCGATGCCAGGAGCCCCTAGTAGCGTCCTTGCTACGTTAAGCTTATTGTTTTATGGCAGTGAGGATTAAATGATTAGCCATTCCCTAAGGCCTACTATTGAAAACAGGTAGCATTGGTCTTTAAGGTGCTTCAAAACTCACTTTAGACAGGCAAGCACGTAGCCCGGAACCTCCACCAGACTTCACACCTTTTCTTGTTGCCTTCGCCCATGTGTCAGCACAACAGCAAGAACAAGGCACAAGTAACACGCCACAACCCCACGACAAAGCACCTTGATCTGGGAATCTGCAATTATTCCAAGTCGCTGGAAATGGGTGTAGTGCTTCCCACTGGCATCCACAGGAACAGCGATGGAAACCTGAAAGGTATCAACCAGAAGCTTGCTTTGGGGGGCTCAGCCCTCTTGAGTCTTGAAAAGAAAGGTGATCATTGCCCACAATTCAGATCTGTCCCCATCATGGTCTCTTATCTTCAAATTTACGACTACTGAAACATGATTGAATCCTGATGAAGATTTGCTGAGCCTTCACAAAGCGCATGAGTGAGCCGGGCCATGGGCCTTCTCCTCCGGACGCAAGAGCTTCGGAGCTGACCAAAGCCCATCTCCAAAGACCGCCAAGGACCTCAAACCGAGGGCCGTCGATGACGGGACCTGCTTCTCATTTGAGTCATGTTGCGCGTGTGAGATTATGGAATCTTTCGGAGTACGCGGCAGCAAAAATAATGGAGAAAATGTGTTCAGTAGTTCTTTGGACCATTTATATATACCTGTCACGTCTTCCTTTGTTCTTTCTTGGTTGCAGTATATCGTATACCCCATCAATGTACACTTCCTCTATCAACACAAAGACCCACCTCGATTTCGGGTCAGCGAAAGGGCGGGTCATACATGGTCAGTAATTGACACTTAAAGCAAATGGCACCTTGGCAACTCATCATTAATTCCATCCCAGGCACAGTTCCAGCTCGTCTGGTACCAGGCAGTGGAGCTGACCTTGAGGTTGAAGGTGTTACAACACGTCGTGAACAACAAAGAGAAAAAAGGGAAAATGAAAGGTCTAAATAGAAGGAACAAGACAAAGCAAGGAATGCTTTAAAAAGACATTGTCTGTTCCTTTCTCATTTTTGGAAAGCTACTACTAGCTCCTGGCATCGCTACTAGTAACAAGGGCATCGCTACTAGTAACAAGGGCATCGCTACTAGCAGCAAGGATGCTACTAGGGGCTCCTGGCATCGCTACTAAGAGCAAGAACGCTAGTAGTTTCGACCTTCCATGGCTCCATCCAAGTCACTCCGGTCGCCCGCCGCGAGGGCAACGCCGAAGCGGCGGCGATCGCTGCTGCGGACCTCGGGGAGAGCTTAGCGAACAGAGCCGAACCTGGAAAAAATCGACTGGACAACGAAAATCTAAGGAAGAAGATGCAACATTATTGCTTTAAATATGTCTATATTGTTTCCTGCTATTGTGTTTTTAGAGCAAAACTGGAAAGATTCTTGATCAATCGAAGCATCCGACACCCAGATTCTCCAGTGGCCTGGCCTCGCACTGGCAGGCCACGGGCAGGGCTGAGACCAAGGTCACCTGGGAAGGTTTCACTCGCCGTCTGCGCAGCGTTTCGGTTTCAAAGGTACCCAGCACGTGTCTCAAGGCTCCGCGCAGGAGCACAAAGGTGAATTGTGTACTGCGGTGCTTGCGAGTCCTTACTGCAAACCGACTGAGAGAACACGGCCAATCCAAAATGGCTAATGCAGACTTGGTGAGAAAATTTGGAACAGGTGACTCACATAACTTCCGTGCACATCCCTACGACGATGTGATTACATCATTCAATGACAGCGCAAGACCCGCATTGTCACCAGGCAACTTGATGCGGAATCAGCTCGGTGTGCCATTCAATGCCTCATCGTCTCAACCCGACATGACGTCCGAAAAGGATCAGCCATCAAGACCTTTCTGGTGAAGCCATGAAGGTTCAACAGGAGCTACTAGTAGCTTCTTGTTCCTAGTAGTACGGCCAGGAGCCCCTAGTAGCGTCCTTGCTCCTAGTAGCGATGCCAGGAGCCCCTAGGAGCTTCTTGTTACTACAACAGAGTAGTTTTTGAGTGAATAACAAAATATCACATGTGTGGGTCTGTTGGTGGTCTCGTCCTTATGCCTGATACGACGGACCACAATACGGCTCATGGACCGCGAAAACATCATGTATCCATCAGCTCACACACTAGCTTGGCACCCAGACAGAACCCAAAGTAGTCATCTGCCTTCAAAAAGGTGACGACATGCTTTTCAGCACATTCTTCGAATGCAACATTGATTGCCCCCAGCACTGCTTACAAGCAGCTTTCCCTTAGGTCATCGCCTTTAAATGTCTTCCATGGAGACAATATGTTAACTCACTCCAACTCCAACCTGCCTCTCCAGGGCCGCTCTTGGAACCACATTGGAAGTGACCCGCCTGTAGAGAAGAAACAATCTCAGTGTTTCAGCTCTCAACTGAATAGAAACTGTGGTCAGAACTGGAAAGGTCTTGCCCAACCAGGTGAGCCACCAAGCAACCACTCTCTAGAGCGAGCAATCGGCCACTCCCTTCAGAGCTCCTGTCGTTGGGAGCAGAGCCATTCGAAGCGAAACTCCCGGCTCCAACCTGCGCAGAGGACCCTGAAAACGCACCAGCTATGATCGGCTCGTCTCCGCAACTGAAAAAGTAAAAACTATCTCCCACATCACAGGTCCCGCAGAATCTTGACCTTCTGAGCTTGATCTCACCTCAGACCGCTTATGAATGCTATAGTGCTACTACTAGCGATGCCCTTTGTTCCTAGTAGCCTCCTTGCTCCTAGTAGCGATGCCCTTGTTACTAGTAGCTTCTAGCTACTAGAAGCCTTATGACCCTAATGTTCCGTGCAAGTCCATCGCTTGTCCATTGCCCACCTTGGCCCAACGGCCGGACAACGAAGCCACCTCGCAGGTCCAGCGCCAAAGCACGAGAGCCTTTGGGAGGCACCTTCCGCTCGGCCGGGCTTTTCAGAATGCTTTACTCAAAGGCAGAGAAAGCAACAGAATAGAAGAATGCCAAAAAGATTGAAGCATACTGAACGTATTAAATGTCTACAGTTCAAAATTCCTTGACGGTCGCATACTCGTCGTTCTGGCGGACTTGACCTAATCAATTTCTTGTTCAGAAGGCACGTAATGAAATAGTTTCATGAAAAGCTACCCTTCCAGAATGTGCAAACGACATGGTGCCTCTTCATTCTCCTGGCAGGATACACATGTCACAGCTGCACAGTCAAGCGAATTTTTGTTGAAACTTATTTGTCCTGGCGGCCATTTATGGCAAGAAGAACCTTGGCTCAAGACACAATCGCGGGTAACATCCCCAACATCCGGCACGATCAGTTCTCTCTCAAGCTTCAATATGGCAAGATATCGCAAGACATCCTCCGCCCACTTGCTCGCTGGCTGACACAAGGCTCTCACGGGTATACTCAGATCATTGATGATGCGTGCCGGCGGCTCCAGAATCAACATCTTGTAAGCCTCTAATGGCGCAAATACATCCTAAATGCAACGGCTCAAGAACAAAAAGAGAAACCAGTTCATTGTGAATCGATTCTTGTGGGAATGATGTGCGATGGTACCTACAGTGACACTGCGTTTTGGTTGGTCTTCTCCCATGCCTCTTTGGCCTGCACGCGGCACACCACGTAGGGCGGTGACACTCCTCATGCGTCGCACGAAAGCGTCTCATGCGTCGCGACGGGCGTCGAACTGTGACGTCCAGCTGAGGCAGCAGCTGGCGCTTCCTCCGACCTCCGCCTGCCTGCTACCGTTGGTGCAGGAAACGGTTGAAGAAGAGCAGTGCTGGAAACGGAAAAATCAAATGTCAAAACTTTGAGATGTGGCCAGTCGCATCTAGTTCTGCTTGACTATTGCAAGGTGTTTCTTCTGCTTGAAGAAAATCTGAAGAGAATGGTCATCTTTGGCCTCAAGGATGGATGGCTTGCAGCTCTGCCCAGGCCCTCGACAAGCTGTCAATCAAAAAGACAACTTCGACATAGCTGTGAATCAAGTTGAATGAGAAGAGTCGGAGACCCCTCTTGATCATGTCGCATCATTGCAGATCCATTTGCCACAACTACAAGTAGTCCCGTTGCGTCTAGCCAAGCGATTCTTGATCAAGGAAAGAATTGGCTCGAAGCAGAAACAGCACGGAGAGTCCTTGCGGCGACCAGCCAATTGGGTTGCCTCGAATGCAAAGTAGCTCTGTCGCAAACGTGCAAGAGGCTCTGGTCAATCTAAAGGGCTAGTTGGACACCGCTCTCAAACTTGATGCAGACTTGATTGATGGGGTTGGAGGCCATCGCTATTAGTAACAAGGGGGTACTAGGGGCTCCTGGCATCGCTACTAGGAGCAAGGACGCTACTAGGGGCTCCTGGCCTTACTACTAGGAGCAAGAAGCTATTAGGTTGGAGGCCATCGCTACTAGGTTTCTCTTGAAAACCGTCCTTTCTCACAGCTGCCGCCTGGAAGTGCGGCAACGCCTGCTCACTGGAACTCCGGCTCGAGCGCGTCAAGGCACCTGGAGGCTCCACTAAACGCCAGGAAAACACATGCGATTTACAAGAACAGTAAATAACGATGTTATAATGCATCATAAGCCAGAGGTCTTCATCTATATCTTCGGACACTTTACGGTGTTCATCAGAAACTAATGTTCGGAAACTACGAAGAGTCGAAGAGCAACATCAAACCTATATGAAATCCGCCGACCCCACACCGTGGGGTGAGGCGTGACTGTCGATGTTAGCCTTAGTCTTAGCCTTAGCCTTAGGCCTTATCCTTAGCCTCAGACCTAGACCTAGACCTTACCTCCCCTACCCCTCCGGACCCTTGTTGCAGTGACGAAATCCTGCCCTAAAAGCGACCGGATGGTGACCTGGATTGTCCAAGAATCTGCCATCCCAATTGATTTACATCTTGGGGCACCCTCTCGACCCGCGCGGGAAAATAAGCACGGTCCAAAGTGATCCTGGGCTCGAATCCCGGGCTGGTCGCGGCATGGTCCCGGCCAATGCCCTTGCTTTTTCGTAGATTTTGTCACGTTTTCTGTTGGTTTATGAGATTTTCAAAGGCTTTTCTGGCATTTTCCTAGGAATGCTCTAGGCTTTGTCTTTTTGGGTACCTGCTTTGGTGGTGCTGGGTTGGGTCTAAATTGGTAAACCTGGGAGGTACCCAAAAAGTCGACTTTTTGGGTACCTGCTTTGGTGGTGCTGGGTTGGGTCTGCACTCTTAAGGCTAAGGCTAAGGCTTAAGGCTAAGGCTAACATAGAGCAAGGCTAGCGCTAAGGTTCTATCCCTTGCGGGTCGGCGGCTGCAGGCGGTAGCCTGGTAAATAGTTTCTGCAAATCGCAAAATAGGCATGTATATATATACCGTAGCCGTCACAAGGTACGTCAATAACCCACCCACCCACCCAATGCTCCTTCATGCAATGAGGTTACAAGATTGTAAAGGTTTTGAAGGATACTCTCTGTAGCATGCAAATAAGCTTCTGAAGATCGCCAAATAGTTTCTGAAGAGGGCAAAATAGTTTCTGGAGAGTAGTTGCGGAAGAGTACCAAATAGTTGCGGAAGAAAAGTTTCAAAAGAATGGAGAGTTGCAGAATAGGACTTTGTTCCTCTAAATCACTTGGTCTTATGGGGCCTAAGCAAGGTTGTCTTTAAAGAACTTCCTTCGCACTGCCCTCATCACCTGTGCGAAGGGCATAGACTCGACGGCCCACGCGGTCCAAGGAGATGCCCTCGACCTGGCAGAAAAAGCCCGAAGACCCCTGAAGACCCCTACCAGGGCCCCTAACATCCTTTCAATCATCCACTGTTTTGCGGTCCGAATACCAGACGTGTCCGAATAGAGCGGTTTTGCTTGCATTCCCAACCTTCCAGAACATCACACTGGCAAATGGTTTCATCCTTGCTGTCCTTTCAGAATGCATCTCAATGCGCTGGCCTTGCTCTTCCTACTTTAAGCCGTCCCTCATGCGAGAGTGGAGTCGCACCTCTGTCGTCCGAGTCCCAACTTCTAACCTCAGCTGGGTTTCTGTGACCTTCTTTTGAGCCCTTTTGCTTTGCACCCCAGTTGAAGCATAAATTGGGTTCCAATCGGCGCATTCTTAGGTCTCTGGGTCGGGAATGCCTTCTTGATATTGCAGTAATTGAAACCGATCACTTTCAGTAATGCAATCGCGTGGGGAAATCAACGTTGAAGTTTGAGGTCAGCGGGAAAGCTACTTCTGCCCAGGAAAGGAGTTTGAAAGGAGCCGAAGTTTGCAATCTGCCATGAGTTTGTCCCTTGAAAGTCTCCATGAGTTGCTGGCTGCAGTGTCACTCGGGTCAGATTCTTTCGACGGCCATCGGACTCCTGAAGGGAGTGCGACCAAACGTGAAGTTAAAGGCTCAACTTATGAGTCGTGGACTAAAACACTAACAGAGAATACTGCTTCAAAGGTCTCGACTATTTGAGTCTCTGTTCCAGACTTGGATTCCTTTCAGAACGCAATGCCAAGCCCGGGGCTGGGGGTGGGCCAAATTAGGAAACCTCCTGCTTGTAGAAACCACGTCAGCATGCAAGTTGCAAGGGCTGCAAAGAAGAGCATGGTACATGGTGAAGGCATTTGCAAGACTCCAGACAGTTGACTGTTTAAGAAACCAAACACGTCTGACCTCCTTGGAGGCAAAACCATGACAGCACAAACAGGGGCTCTCGCAGATAAGCTCTTGCTGTGCGTGTTCGATCGTTTTCATGATATCAATATCGCGGACTCACAGTGGCTCGCATGTCTTCCAAGCCCACTGTATGGTATATCTTCCTATTGGGTCTTGGAGTTGCTGAAGTCTCCTACCTACTAGCATCCTTGCTCCTAGTAGCGATGCTCTTTGTTCCTAGTAGCTTATTGCTCCTAGTAGCAAGGACAGGAGCCCCTAGTAGCGTCCTTGCTCCTACTAGCAATGGCCTCCAACCTAAGTCTCCTCCAGGACAACTCGTTTAACACAATCAACTCCTGAACTTGGAGGCACTGCTCCGAGGAAGCATCCAAGCGCAGCCTGGAGTGGCGCTTGCAGTCTGAGACTCTGAGCCACACAATATGAGTTTTGTAGGTCGTTATTTAAAAACCGGGGGGATTAGGAAGCCAGTAGACCCAGCAAGCTACTAGTAGCTGGAACGCAGGAAAGCGCAAGCTTCTTCTTAGGCAGCTCGCAGCTCCGGAGCTCCTTGAAGAAGCCCTCGCACCATTTATTCCCGTGGTTCCTAGATTTGGGGGAAACTTAACAAATAGAATCTAGAACAGAACTGGAAGGCTTGTTACATGTAAAAATAGGTTCCTTCTCACATTCAAGAAAGGTTTTGTTTCAAGCATGAAATCTAGCGACATGTTGTGAGCGGTCCAGGCAGCACTTCTTGTGAGAGTGTTGTTGGGAGTTATCACAAGTATCCAAGACCACCCCATCTTTCAAGCCCATCTAGCCAGTATTTTGGTCACAACTAATTCATCAGGATGTTTTGAAGTAAAGGCAGCTAATATTCCACCGTCCCCGGAGTCAACAAGCTCAGTCCTCTGACTGCCAGGCAGGTGCAAGGTAACTGCCCCTGCCAGATCATTGCCTGCTCCGCGGTCCGCGTGCACAAAGAAAAGCCACACAAGAGTGAGGCAGAGTGAGGCACTCTGCAAGGGGAATCATTTTTCTCTAGTGAAAGGCCTTCGTTCGACTCAACTACAACCCTTTAGTTACTACCAACAAGAAAGCGTTCTTCCAACCATTTTCGTGGAACAGTTCTACACACTTTCTCGTAGGCCTGAAGTTGAAGCCTTTGCTACCCTATTGCTTCTAAGAGCCGCGTGTTTTACCGCGAGAAAGAGCATCATCTCCGATATCCCATAGGTGCCAGCAAGCGGCGCACGGCATAAGGAGACAAGACCGGCATCGCCATCTGGGCTGGTTTGAGTGCTGGCTGGGCGCGCCAGTGTCGAACAACGGCATACAAGTTAGGCGAACAAGTAAGGGAGAGGTAAGATACTATCTACTCAAGCTACTACCTGCTGGACCCAGGATAGCCCACGCTAATGATTTGGTTCCTAGATTTTGGTGGAAACTTAAGATGTATACAATGTACAAAGGCTTGACTTGTTGAACATGAGGTAAACTGTTCTTTTGTCTTGCTCGCGGGTTCCAGTTGGTCTCTTTCAAGTGACGGCGGGCGCCTAAAGTGTCGGCGTTCTTCCTCATACAAGCCATGTAAAGGAAGGACTATGCGTTCTTCTTGAAAACTGTCCTTGTAATTGTAGTTTGATTTCTGGCACTTGGGGGCATCAAAGTGAGCATTATGTAACTCTGATGCTGTGAAAAGGCTCCAAAACCTCCTTTCAGGCAAGTCACCACCTTCTCAGGCGCTATCCAGGGTGCACTGAGACCAGGAAGCACGCGCCAGCACAGGTCAGAGACATTCCTTGGTCAAGAAACCATCTGAGAGGCCTTGAAGCAAGGATTCTAAAAGGAATAAAAATAAGAAGAAAAAGATAGGTCTGCAGTAAAAGCAAAAAGAACAGAAGACAAATTATCATTTTTTGGTCTTACGAGTCAGTGAAACTCAAGGCCGAGACTTTAGGACTTGAAGGCTTTGAAGGAGGAAGGGGACCCAAGAGGCTCAAGGACTTAAAAGCGAAGCACCAAAGTCCGGAGTCAACTGATGAGTCAACTGATTGAACTGCCAAGCTGATGAGTCAATGAGTGTTTTGATTGCAAAGAAACACATCAAAAACAAAAAAAGAAAAGAACGCTACTATAGGGGCTCCTGGCCTTACTACTAGGAACAAGGACGCTACGAATGGGGCGCTCCTTCGCAGCCTTCGCATCCAAGACGCAGCAAGAGTCGCTCGGCGCTCTCGATGCTCACGGAGTCCCGTGGAGCCGAATGCCCCGACGCCTGCCAGGCGAAAAACAAGAAAGTAGTGTTTGAAGACAAAAGTAGGTCAATTCTTTTGAAGCTTCTTGTTACTACTAGTAAGGCACTTGTTACTAGAAGCAATGCACTTGTTCCTAGTAGCTTATTGTTTCTACTAGCAAACATTGTTACTACTAGTAAGCAAACATTGTTACTAGTAGCGATGCACTTGTTCCTAGTAGCGTCTTAAGAAAAAGTAGAAGGGTTGCTAATAGGTTGGAGGCCATCGAAAGTAGGTTGGAGGCCATCCCTTCTAGAAAAACAAGGACAAGGAAGGAACAAAGAAAGGTCTCAAGGTTGAAAGAAGAAAACGAAATGAGAGGACATGAAAGATATCAAAGTAAAGAATCCATCTTCCATGCTTCCAAAAGGCCTTGAGAATCCTTGAGACTTGCAGGTGACTCTTTGATCGTCACTACCCCTTATGAATTGTAATGAGCGCGTTGAATGCTTCGGGAGAAGATCTCCTGCCCAGTGAGAATGTCAGTTGCAAGTTACCAATCTCTGGTCCCCTTTTGATGCTGTTAGGACAAAGAAGGATTGCTATTAGGTTGAAGGCCATCGCTATTAGGTTGGAGGCCATCTCTGGTCCTCTTGCATGCTGTTCAAGAGCTTGCCTTGTCGGCTGGAGAGCTCTTGCCTGCAGACTCAGGAGCTGGTTCAGAGGAAACCCGTTTTCGAGCCAAGCGCGAATGTGGGTTCTTGTAACTAGCCACATAACGAAGTGGAAGAGTCGTGAATGAATGTCCATTCCGCAGGTATTCCACTGCTTGTGGTTTTCATTTTTTTATCAAAACCAACCTTCTGACATGTTCTCCCACTCGTGGCTGGCGTAAGCAACCAACCGTCGCAAAAAGAGATGGCTCACAAGGCGGAACAGACCGACTTGAAGGAATTGCGCAGGTGTCCATTTGCAATTCACGTCCCTCCAGCTTGCCAAAGTCTGGAGCTAAGGCACACGTCACCTTGAATGCCCATTGCCTCCGTCAAAGACAGTGGAAACACGGCAGAGACAACACTAGGAACAAAGGGCATCGCTACTAGGAGCAAGAAGCTACTAGGGGCATTAGCTAATGATGATAGAAATGCCAGAAGCTAAAACTATGAGCTGTAGTGCTGTCCAAGCGAATGCCAACACAGCAGCTTCGGCACTTTTTGAGGATGTTGAAAGTTATGTTATAATCTTCATTCATCTTCGAATGCACCAGTCTAAAATGCCCAACCTCCAAGAGGACATGAATTCTCAGACCTAAATCTTTCGATTTGTAAGAGATAGGAAACAAAATGAAACAAAATAGCATTGTTGTTTCTCAAGGCGAGCACGGTTAGGATCGAAGAGCTTAGTAGCTTTCTTTTGAGCTGACCGGCGCTGATCCTGTGCACACCCGCCCTGCCTTGGTTCCGATTGATCGATCGGCTGACCCTCCAGCAATGGCTCCCACCCCGCAGCCAGCGGATTGAAGAGCCTCAGCACGGCGCCAATGGAGCTTGTTCGGTTTTCCTATAAACAAGAAGCTAGTAGTAACAAGTGCCACGCTAGTAGTAACAGGTGCCTTACTAGTAGTAACAAGAAGCTATTAGAAACAAGAAGCTAGTTTCTCTCTCCAAGTACGCCGCGTACGCCTTTGACAAAAGAAACCGCTCAGGAACAACTCACTGGAAGCATAACACCCAGTGTGGCAAGAACAGGATGGAAGGCTCACGACCCCCCATCAGGTCAGGATGTTGACATTCTCGGAATGACACGGTCGATGCCTGACTACCTCTTACTTTAGGCCTTAGGTCGCAGAAAGAAGAAGAGAAATCAACATGGTTTATTTGTTTCTTGGTCTTTGTTTTGTCCTTATGTTTCTGCTGTTAAACGTTTTCCCTTTATCTTGTTCTTGTTATTTCGGTTTTTAATCATTCATGCAAGGCTCCAGTACTCTAGGACCTTCCTTTGGTGTGGACAATGTCGACAAATCTCGAAGGGCGAATAGTAAACACAAAGGGAACACCATTTTGGGCGAAGACTTCTTCTCAGTGGCCAAAGGCTCAGCTGTGCTCGCCCGTTGAGGCGCTTCTCCTTGTAGCGCTGCAAGTGACCCAGACAGAGCTCGGAGGCTCGGAGCTCCAAGAAGGGCCAACCTCCGGTCGGTGCTGAGCAAGGTCTTCGCCGAGAGACCAGGAATAAATTATCAGACTTTCAGTTAAAATCAAATCCTGAAGGAGGTCTGGAATCCTTTCTTGAATCCAGCTTTTGGGCCTCACTTACCCTATGACTACCATGCTAGGAACGTCTGTCCCTTTGCTTTCTACGAGGCTTTTGCAAGTCCTACTTCCAGGTCAGGAGTCAATCAAGTTGCTTGAGACTGAGACCGGTGGGTTCAACACATTCAAGCGATGGACCAGAGCAATGACTTAAGGGGTTACTATCGTTGTGGATCGTGTAAATTGGTTCATTGTAAGCGTGGGGGAACCATTTGCTCCAGAAGCTCGTTGTTTCTGGTGTCGTACCGGGTGGGAAACAAAGCCACCTGCTTGCTCGTTGTGAGCAGCAAAGCGAGTCAGGTTCCTTCTAGACAAGCAGCGTGAACCTGGTTCATGCTCACTCAGAAGAGTCACTTTGGCATCGTTGAAGTTGAACCTAAGCTGGCATTTCTCTTCGTCTGCTTAGGACGAGCAGAATCTGGATTCAAAATATTCCTCGTTTTTGAATGAGGGCTCCTGGCATCGCTACTAGGAGCAAGGATGCTACTAGGAGCTCCTGGCCTTACTAGGAACAAGGACGCTACTGGTAACAATCTGCCTTTCTCTTCCTCTGCTGCGATGGGACTCCAGTGAGTTCACCGCATTCTCGTTGGACTCCTCTTGACCGTTCTCTTCCTGTCATAGAAATGTACTGTGCCCCTGTACAAGTACGTCCTACTAAAAGGAGCAAGGATCTAAATTGTCTAAATTAAAAGAAAAAGGAAACAAAAGGACACCTAAAGCTGTTGCAAAAAAACTGTTTTTACATGTCAAAAATATGCATTGTGAATCTCTAAAGCTCCAAAGAAACCATCAAAGGTCAAAATCATCAAAGTGAAAAGACGCCTTCCCATCCGTCGCTTCCATGCCCCACGCATGCTTCACGCAGGCAACCCAGACTTGCAAGTCTCGGTTGGAGAGGCTGCCACGCAGCTCCTGGTGTGAAGCATGGAAAACAAAGGCTCAAAGGCACGCAAATCACACAAAGCAACCAAAACCCGATCTCTCTCTCTCTCTCTCTGCTGCGTATTTCCTGCACAACGACCTGACCGGGTCACTCCTGACACCGAAGGCGTCTTGAGCATCGTGGCTGTTGCATGTCGGGGCGTTCGGTCGATGGACCTGGCGCGCAAACAGATCATGTCTTCTACAGACCTCGAGGGGTTTGGCCGACCTCGACTTGAATGACTGGAAGGTACTACTAGGAGCAAGGACGCTACTAGGGGCTCCGGGGCTCCTGGCATCGCTCCTAGGAGCAAGAAGCTACTGGGAACAAAGGGCATCGCTACGAGGAGCAAGGATGCTACTACTTTGCTTTCTCTTCCATCGGCCTGTCCCGCCTGCACCGGTGGCTGGCGAGGTGCCAGTGGCCACATCAAAGGCCAAGTGCTGGGCCGTGGCCAAGCGGCGATTTTTCGACTCCGCACGGAGCTCAAAATCCTTGGCGATAAACAGACTGCAGGCCATGAGCTTCGACTCACATGCATCATGTGCCTAAAGTGTATGTGCAGGAGCATATGAGACGCCTGACAGCTCTTGCAGGTTGACTTAGAGAGCAAACGAGGATGCCCTACAAGCATTCTTGATGTCCGCATATTGTCCTTTTTCTTTTTTCTTTGGACCTAAGACTAGACCTTTCTGTATCCAAATGTTTCAAGGACAGGCCGTATACCAATCCAGACAGAGGTTCTGCAGCGACCCATTTTGACAAGTAGGAAGCCTTCTCACAGGATGGGTCGCAGAAATACACACACTACAAATGTACAAATGGTCTCACACAGTGACTCACATAGTATATACAAATGTATACAAATGCGAGGCACAGCTTTGGCCAAGTCACGACCACTGCGGTCCAGCCATGACTAAAGAAGACCTCGGGGTTCTCAAAGTTCATCGACCATTCCCTCAGATGCGAGGTCAGAGCTGCAGAACTGGAAGGAAAGGCAAGGCGTCCCGGTGTCCATGTTTCTGGATGCAGGTCCAAGGCACTGCAATTGCTGCCGGGACAAGAGCTGATACCTGAGAACATCAGAGCACAGAGTTGTGAGAAGAAAAACGAAGCAATCAACTGCGCGCTGATGTTCTTTGGCCGTTGCCCGCATCCTGCTCTTCCACAGAGTCCCAAAGCAATACCAAACGACCCACGAGACCAGTGACTCAGAGAAAACCCAACCCAGAGATGCACGAGTTTAATCGTTTAGCCCAGATGCTTCATGTTGGTCAGGGCAGAGATCAAAGGCGCCTCCTTCTCAAGTATCGAAAGAGTGGGCACTTGCGGATGCGTCCACCCAAAGCACAGATTGCATAGTCAAGAAGAGATCTTTAGCAACTTGAGGGGTCTCACCATGGTTTCACGGTCGTCCAATTAGCACGTCCTCGAACTTCTCCAGTAGCAACACATGAGCATCTTGCCTCAGTGAGCTTTTGGGCAAACCGCTTGGCTATCGATTCAGAGGGGTGGGGAAGAAGCTTCGAAGAGCGAAAGCTCTCCTGGCTTCGTCTAGACGACCCGGTACAGCCATTCTTAGTAGCGTCCTTGCTCCTAGTAGCGATGCCATGAGCCCCTGTTCGCTTTCCTGATTGAGCTGCTTTACGCAAAGCCGAGCTCTCGACAGCGTCGCTTCGACCTTCAACTCGCTCGATGGCCTTAGGACTCCCTCGCTTCCCTCACCGCTGATACACAGGTGGATCTCTCGTTCTCCTGATTTTTCTTTACAGGTGCGAAGCTTTGTACATGGGTATTCTTCAAACAAGAACACTACTAGAAACCTGTGTGCTTCTTCTACATTAGCCTCCAGCATACAGATTGTGAACCCGCCAGTGGAAATGTTTGATAATGCTTGTGCCTGTTGCTTCACTTTGCTTCTGTCAGCGAAGCCAGCCTTTCTCCAGTGACAGCAGGTGGAGCGAACCAGGGCTGCGGAGGAAACCTGGCCATGCTGCGTATGTGCTTTCCACAGAGGTCAAGAGATTTTGGAAGATCTCTGGAAATGCTCATTATCGAATTTGGAGCCACACTCAGAGGGTTGGTATCCATCCCCTCTAATTCTTTCAGCTTGCGCCCCCAATCACCAAGCTTTAAACACAGATCTCAGGTGCTAGTCACTTAATTCGGCACAATGCGCATTCAACTGCATTCAACTCCATTCACCTCTTCCCTTTTCGGTCGTCTGAGCTACGGCACATCCATGCCCAGCAGCGACGCAGGAGTGGCATCTGCAGCTGCACTCGAGGGCGATTGCAGTGGATCTGTGAGACAGGTGAATCACAAAGAAGTTGAACCTTTATTGAAACGCAAGTGACAAGAAAGATTGTCTGCTTTGTTTTCTTGTGCTGTTCTTCACACCTTTATAGAGACCTTTCTTGTTCCGAACTATCTTGTTCCGAACTAAATGTGTGTCGATTGTCCGGGTTGTTTGCAACGTTCTTCATACACGTCTGTTTCACGGACTTTGTCTCTGTACCCACCGCTAAATCCGCTTCCTTTCCGAAATGTCCCGTCCAAGTTCACTTTGCGCCTTGAAGTATTGGCCTTCCGCATGGTCCGAAATGTAGTCTCCATGGATGGAGGGGCCCTGACTCAGAATTTCTAAGCACCAAAGCCAAAGAAAAAGTCAAAAGCTGCAAGTCAATCGAAATGAAATGAAACAAATTTTGACCATTTCGTTTGTACTGCAACAGCACATCATTTTTTTTGGCCTTCCTGCCGCGTGCTGAAGCCTGCAACAAGAGATGAGGACTGCAGTTATGCCAGTTTTGCAATTGCCATGGACGTCATGACCTTTTCCTGCTACAAGCAATGTGTATTCTAACAATATAAAAACGCGTATTCGTTGTATCTTTCCTTTTTGAAGACCTTTGGACCTTTCTGTCCTTTCCATTTTTCTGTCGTTGTCTTTCTTTCCCGCATTATTCTGTCTTCCATTTTCCCTGTCTTCCTTCTTCTTTAGACCTTAGACCTTTTTCTCTGAAAACTAGTCCACGACCTCTGTCCTCTTCTTTCCAAAAAGCGTCGATCGCCGTCACGCTGACCTGTTTTGGCCTCCGGATCCCCTAGATTCTGATCCTGGCTAAACCATTGCCTTTCTGAAGAATTGGTGGACAACCCAACCACCGTAACAATAGTAACTGTGTTGTGAACTTGTGTGTCATTTGTCAATCATCTAAATGCTAGCCATCACCCAGCCTTGGGCGACGAGCGCTTGCAGAGCAGCTGATTAAAGGGCGCTGGAAACAAACCAGTGCTTAAGCGTGCCTGTGCGAGGGCTGGATCTCCCAACTCCAAACTGATAAAACGAGAAGCCCAAGGCGGACGTTGCCCGGTTTAATTGCAGCAAATGGATGAGGTTCAATGTAATTCTGTTTGTTTGACCAACAACGCCTTATACCGCCCGTTTCACACGGCTTCACCAGCTTAGAAGCCTTACCACCCACATGTGCAAATGAAAAATCCCATGGCACCTCCCAAAGTTCAAAACTCACCACGGCGCGTGGTGCAGCATGCTTCTTCACCTCCCAAAGGTTGAGAAAGAATGAGAAAGAGAGAGAGAGAGGAAAAGTGTAGTATAGCAATGGCCTCCAACCTAAAAATGTGCAAAAGGACCTGCATTTCCACGCAAAATGTATCACATGATGTTCTACTGCAGTAAAGTCGCCTGAGTTAGCCATAGTTTGGACCCACAACACGCTAGCTCATATTTAAGCGTCCAAAGCATATCATAGGACCGATGCACCTTCACCTGAAGCTCCTTTGCAGCGAGTTCTGCAAAAGTCTGGTCATCCTCCTGGCGGAGAAAAGAAGAGAACTCGAAAAGACTCCCGAATCACAAGTTCTCCCTGTTCACATCCTGTGCGGCACCACGCCTGCATGCGCAGCCGAAAGTTCCAGAACAGGAGCCTGCAACGAATCTCCGATGAAAACTCGAACTGGCCATCGTGTTGAGACGAAATTACATGCTTCCGTTGAATGGAAAAGCGGCAACACCGAAGAACCTAGCGCAAACCTAAAACGCTAGGAAAACAAACATTGACAACTTGAATTATCAACCAGCTCTACTCAACAAGGTGCACATTATGTTAGGCATCTCGTCATTTGTTTCTCAAGAAGTTGATTTTCCTTCAGCCTTCAAACACGTGTTCCAGTGAGCTGGCCTGAATATCAGCCATTCTGGGAAGTCGCTTGGTTTGCTGAGCTGTTCAGGTGTCAAAGGCGTCTGTGCTACATCGGGATCAATGCCTGCCACCTCAGCGAGCAAAAGATGCCCCATGAGATGCACCATGACGTCGGTTTGCGTCGCAAAGCGACACCTACTGGGCGCACATTCTTGGAAAAGGCGGCGCGGAGCAAAGCGAGGCCTTGGCGATGCGTTGAAAGCAAAACTTCGAGGAGGAATCTCAGACCGGCAACGAAAGCCTTCTAGTAGAGCATAATGAACAGTCTCTAAAAATAGGTAGACGTTTAGAATTAGAAAGAGCAACAAAGTACAAAAATTGAGTTATCTTTGCTGAAAAAATAGAAAAATTACACCGGCAAGGGACCCCAAATAGTGTAAAGAGGAACAGATGGAACATGGCATCACGTGGAAGGAAAGAAGGAGCACACAGATGAGAGCACAAATATGAGAGGATACATACAAGAGCGCAAATGTGAGAGTGCAGATTCACGAGCACAAATGAGAGCACACATATGAGAGCATATGGGAGCACATATGAGAGCACATGAGAGCACACATCTGAGAGCACAAATGTGAGAGCACATACAAGCACAAATCTGAGAGCACATAGGCGAATACATAGGAGCATTTCAAAGTTCACAATGTACCGCGCCTGCTACGAAATCTGCACATGGAGGTTCACAAAGTACTGCGCCTGCCACGAAATCTGCACGTTGAGATTCACAAAGTGCTGTGCCTGCTACGAAATCTGCGCATCGAGATTCACAAAGTGCTGCACCTGCCACGAAATCTCCACTTCCAGACTCAGCAAGTGCTGCGCCTGCCACGAAATCTGCACATCTAGATTCACACAGTGCTGCGCCTGCCACGAAATCTGCACATCGAGATTCACAAAGTGC